TATATATATATTAATGATGTATAAAAATATAAATTTATATATAATTTATATCTGAGAGTTTATAAAAATAAGTTAAAAAAATATTGTGAAATTGTTATAAGATATTTTTATAATTTTTTTCAAACACTCACAAATATATATAACATAAGTTGAAGTTGTTATGTAAAAGAAAAAAATAGTTTCAAATTATTTATAAATTATTTCAAACAATAATGATGATTATTTTCAACATTTATGTTTTATATATTGAACCAGTAATAATTATTTTCAATATTTATGTTTTACTCTTTGAATTTATCATTTATTGTGATGTCGTTGTTGGATTGGTTAGTATCCTATGAAATAAATTTAAGTTGGATATGATTTTATTTTGTTACATATCACATGTATTCTCTACTAGAATTAATGCTGTCTGAGTTAGGTAATATTATTATGGACGATAAAGATATTTTTTTTTAATATTTAACAAAATTTGGACTTAAGATTATTGTTTTCTTTTTGATCCACAAGAATCAAACTTGATTGCGACACTCACACACTCTTATGATCATTGGTTAAGCTCTTAGCTAGTGGTCTTGAGTTCAAATTTAAGGTATGGTGTTTGAATGAGTTTTTCATATAAATTTAAAAATAATAAAATTTAAATTGAATTTAAGATAATTTAATAAGAAAAATAATTGATAGATACTTAACATCTAAATGACACCTAAAAAGAAAGATAGAGATAAAAGAAAAATATAAATATATAATAGATAACCTATATTTTTTATCCATAAGAATTATAAGATTTAAACTTAAATTTTTTTTATGTAGTATATCAACTTCCACTGCTAGCCAACTATAGTGATTGTACAATAGGCAATATGATAAAATAAAAATAAAGAAAAAGAAAAACATTATATATATATATATAGGGTTTATAATTATACCAGTGTAACTTTTACTAAGTATTACACCATTCAATAACTTTATATTAAATGTGAATTTTGTAAATCCAACCGTTAGATTGAAAGTTCTTTATTCTTAGATCATATATATAAAATTTTATATTAATCCAAAATGATTTGATACTTCATTCTTATAAAATAAAATTGACGTAATATATTTATTTTAAAATATACTAAAATATGAATATTTTGATTATTTTTAAGTTATTGTTCAATTTTAACAAAATTTGATATACACATATAAATTGATATGAACTTTCAATCTAACGGTTAAATTTACAAAATTCACATTTAATATAAAATTATTAAGTAGTATAATACTTAATAAAAATTATACTCGTATAATTATAATCTCCTCATATTATATATATAATATTTATAAACCTAAGCATTTGTTTCCCTAATTAGCTTCTTTTGGAGGGAGTTAGAAAGCCCATCGCTTTATCTGCAACCAAAAGCCCAAAGAGTTTTTAAGCTACTAAATATGGTTATTTTTCTGATGGACTCGAAGAAGGTACGGTTATTCTCTTTTTAGTCAGACGAGAGTTAGGAGAAATATGTATAATTTAGCAAAATTTATATATTGATTAGATAATTTATGATACCTTTCTAAAATTGTTTAGGACTCGTTTGTTTAACTGATTTTATAATATTTTTTTTTTTTGGAAATTTTCGAAATTATTGTTTTTTAATTTTGAGAAAATACTAAAATATTCTTTTGGGGGATTTCTTGGTTTATCAAAAGCTTAAAGAAACCTTTTTCTTTTAAAAAACGTCTCTGAATTAAATAAAACTAGTATGATAAATAAATATTTATTATATATAATTAAAATTTATAATAAATTATATATACAAATAAATATTATGTTTGAATATATAAATCATATTTAAAATTGTATAACTAGATATTTTTAAACATATAAATTATATTTTAAATTTATAATAAATAATTTATATTGTAGTATAATATTAATTTTATTTTATTGATATTTTTTTTTAAAAATATTAAAATTTAATTTATAAATAATTATGATAAATAAAAAATTAAAAAAAATCTCTAAAAATTTTCTAGGTAAAGAAAAACCTCTATAAGTAAGGGGTTGATTATTTTTTTATTTAAAAGAAACACAAATAAACGGCCCGTTAA